TTGATGACTTATTCTTTATTATTCTTTATTCTTTGTTCTTAATTCCTTAATAAAAGGTTATTATTTGCATTACTTGACATCAAACATACATACATCACATTTTGTACAAGCACTACCCTGCTTTACCTCATAATCATAGCTTCCTAAATAATTTGTGCTATAGCGTACCTTATTCTCAGCCACATTTACCCCCACGTCAGAAATTTCAGGTCCAGTCCGCGCTGTAGCGCGTCAGTGTCACTGTAGCAATTCAACAAGTAAGTTGTCGAGCGACAAGAGCGTAGCCATTATTGTGCGCATCGTTTCCTTTTCCCTTTACCATTCCATTTCGTCTTCTATCTTGGAGTAGCCATTTATCCTGCGATTTCACGCCTCGCACTCGGTCCTTTATCGGCAGCTGACATTGTCGCCCAGCTAGCCACCAGTTGCGACACCAGCTCACCGTTCATGCAGCTCCAGCGATTACTAGGTGGTTCTCCAACTGCTTACGAAGTAACTCCTTTGCCTTTCAGCCCTCTAGGTCTAATCCACATGGCCCAGCCATCGGAGAATGGTGTGTGACATAACGGTGCCGAGCGTTTCACGTCTTCCTGTGCCGTAAACGAGGCGTTGAGCACGCTCGTTGCTCACACGGTGTTCCTACCGCATGGGAGTCAAACTGTGATGGCACCGGCGGTCGAATGTAGCTAGCCTTATTATGTCTGCCGGTTTAATGGGACGTTTCACTACCGTACACAGCATGGTGGAACATACGGCTGCATTGTTCACTGTACGCTTCAGGGAGAGGGTGATGTCGCACCGACGCCATAGGTGGTGAAGGCTAGCAAAAACGCTCCGGCCTTTCATTATACGGTTTGTAATCTTGTCTTCAATTCCAACGGCGCTGATACAACTGAACGACTTCTAACTGATCCCTACCAAGGGTCAGCGCAGGAGGCAATTTCTGCCAATTTCGGAAGAAAACTTGGCAATTCGAGGGTGCACAGCATAGCTCGAAACGGCTGACAGGCAGTGCTAACCTCTGTAGTACTGTTTGGCATGTTTGTGAGCTGTCACGGATAAGGGCCATGTCGACATCATACTCCAAGTCAAGAAGTTCCACACCTAACTCGTTTCCTGCGAACACGATCTCCATGACTTTGTCAACAACAAGTTGAAGAGAAAAGGTGACAGCGGCATCCTTGTCTTACACTTCTGGAGATATTGAAGGGCGACCACATCTGGCCATGAGCCCTCACTCTGCCCGAGCTACGCGCGTAAAGCGCTCGGATAATGTTTACTTATTTATCGGGCACATCTTTCCTGAGTAGACAGTTCCAAAGGGACATCGATCCATCGAATCAAAGACGTCTTTGATGTCTAGAAACACGACAAGGGTTGGCCGCTGGTATATATGACAGTGCTCCAACAACTGACGCAAGATGAATACGTGATCGATGTAGCCCCGACCTCGATGAAACCCGGCTTGCTCCTCACGTATCTGGCCTTCACGAGTGCTAGTCAACCTGTGCAAGATGACAGGCAAGCAATTTGGAGGCAATGGAGATCAGACCGATTCCTCTATGGTTGCCGCATTCCGAACGCAAGCCTCCTTCGAAGATTGGGGCACTAACGGAGCGGCTCCAGTCGGTTGAGACAGTTTTCTGCCTCACAGTTTCACTATTAACTCATGTAAGTCGCCAACAAGAACTGGGCTTCCGAATTTGAATATTGCTGGAGGACAATCATCTGGTCCCGCGGCTTTATTCAACTTCAGCAGTCCGATCTAATGTTCGACTTCTGACCAGGAGGGCGGATCCAAAGGGACAGTCCAGGGTGCAGTGCCATCACTGGCCGGCGAAGAATCGAACAATTCTAGCTGATTACATTGCCTTTCAAAGTGCTCAGTGCAACGCCCCATGCGCTTTGACAAGTTGTGAATAGACTGTCCACTCTCGTCACTATAGTTTCACTAACACCAGGTCTCCTGCCAGTTTCCTGTATCAGACGGAATAATTTTTTGATTACTAAGGGCAGCGACCACTACCATCTCTGAGGCATAGTGAGACCACCATGATTCGCGGTCTCTTCAGGTTAGCACGGGTTTTTGTCCGGCGATCTTTGCGCATCTCATTGTGTTCGCTTCCAACCGAAATGCCCTGGCGAGCATCGATTAGTTCCGGAGACTGTGTAGAGACCCAATGTCTATGTTGGCTTTTGGATTTACCAGATGAGGATTAGCTTGCTGCTGTTAAGGTCTGGCGAACATGCGACCAGTTACCAACTGTATTCAGTTAGCGCTTACTCGATCCGAATGCTAGCGTACTTCGAAACGCATTCAGGACATCTGGCTTCGCGAGTTGGCTGGTGCCTATGCGCTCACAGGGTCGTCTTGGGCGCTCGCCAAAGCGCACCCGCGAATCAGCACAAACAAGTGCACAGTCGGTGTCCACACGTGTGCTCCAAATCAGGTGACAGTTTTGAACACAACCTCTCCAGCGGAATGACCTTTGCACCATCGCCGTGCAAAGTTCTTCTCCAAGATTGGTTGGGACGCACTCCTGCACTGACACTTGGCGGTGATAATTTAGAACTCGTCGAGAAGTTAAAGGATCTGGGCAGCTATATCGGCGCCAATTGAACGGAAGAGAAGTCACTTGCGGTATAGCGGAAGCAAGAGGTGCTTTTTCCAATCTCCGCCACCTCTGGCGCTGACGTGACGTCACTCTCGCTCTGAAGAACCGAGTTTCCAATGCAGCCGTCCGTACAACCCTCCTGTACAGTTGCGAAACTTGACCCATCAAGTCAACAGATATAAAGTGGCTTTCTCAGTCCAACCATTCATGCCTTCGCAGCTTAGCTCATGTCTGGCATGAACACCGCGTGAACAATGAGCGTGTTCGGTGTATCGTATTTAGTGCAGGGAGAGCCAGTGAGCCGCTCAGCATCATTATATCATGCACCAGGTACTGATGGCTTTACCAAGTGTTGCGCATGCCATCCCACCGACTCCCGCGATGTACGTTCTTTGCGCGCCCGGGGTTTGGATGGAAGAAGAGCAGTAGAGGCCACTCGATAATTTGGTCAAGAGGAATGAAAACCCTCACTTCGGCAGCTATCTCCCGACTGCCGCGTTGGGATCCCGAGGACAATGAACATGTTTGGTTGTACATACTTGCTGTTATGGCAAAATGGTGGCCCCAATAACGTATGAGTTTCTTAGTCCATTCCTCCCATTTACCTTCCCCTTCCACCAACGATAGACCCAATGCACCATATACTACCTAATACTGTATTACTTGCTTTTGAAAGCCTTTGTAGTCAGTAATTTTTGGTATCTTATGTTTTTGTATTTCGGCATATTAGCTGGAGTGTTTCTTACCCTCAGCTAACGTGTATGGATGATGAGGACGAAGCGCCGGAAGTAGCTTGTTTCCCATTTTCCTGATTATGAGGAGCCGTGGAACGAAATACAAGAAGCGGGATCAGGCGATTACTTGGTCTAGAGGAATGAAGTCGCTTACTTCGGAGTCGGTGTCGGTAGATGTTTTCTGACTACTTTTCTGGGGACTGAAGGATGATAAACATCTTTGGTTGTATACACTAGCTGACACGGCGAAGAGTCGATTTCAGTGGCGTTTGTGTTGTGAGTCTTTGTCCATTCCTTTCTTTTTAGCTTCCCCCTCCAACAACCATCAGAAATGTGACGTTAGCATTAGGTTACTTTTTCTATAGCTTTTAAGTTTACATTGCTTAATGTCCTACTTTTTGTATTGCGGAACATTAGTTGCGGTTTTTCTTGCCCTCATCTAACGTGTATTGACGGTGATGGCGATGAAAATCTTCCTGCAGGATTGGCTAGTCGCTGCTCCTATCCTCTTTCAGGTCACTGGAAGTGGTAGATAAGTTTGTTTACCTCGCAAGCTGTCTCAGCACTGATGGTTTACCGGATGAGCGCGTCTCCCATGCTCGCGTTGCTTTTGAAATCTCTGCTATGGCGTCAAAACGATCTGCGTCTATTTCTGAAGCGCCGAGTTTACAATGCCAAATTGAGAGCGCTTCTGCTCTATGACTGCGAGACTTGGCCTGTTCGCGCAAAGGATATTGTGAGTGTCTGTTTTTGATCATTGATGGTGTGCGATGGAACATCACCTTAGTAATGAGGATGTTCGGCGGAGAATTTTTAGATCAGACAGTGTTTGCCGGCCACTGAGCAGCATAATTTCTTTGCGCAGACTTCAGTGGTTTGGGCATGTTCTTCGCATGCTTACTGATCGTTTACCTCGCTGTGCCTTCTTCGCGCGTGCAGAATTCGGTTGGAAGCGAAAGCAAGGTGGCGAACATATGATGTGGGCCAGGATCATGAAGGAGGTGACGTCAAAGTTAGCCGTGGTCGGGTGCTCTCGGCTCCCTGGCTAAAGTGTGAAGGATCAGGAATACGCATGACTTGTAACACTTTCGGATATGGCAAAAAACCGTGCGCAATAGTAGACTTGTTGTGACTCTCTATTCCTATGAACACTGGTTTATATTTTTACCTCCATTCGTTTGTTTATTGTGTTTCTCATACATTGTGGCACTGCCAATTGTATTATTGGCCTTGTTAAATATATATATATATATATATATATATATATATATATATATATATATATATATATATATATATATAGTTTTCTGAGGCGGAGAAGCGTGTAGAAAAACAAGACATCTCGGTTTATCTCTTTTCTGTTCAACTTATTCTCCTCATCCTTTTAGTTTTCTATTCGACTGGCCTTGCGCCAATCCTGTACTTATAGATGTACATTTTGGATCCCATTCTTTTCTTGTTGTATGACCAATAACAGATGAGGGTGGATCACGTTCCACCGCAGCTGATGCAACTTTCTTCTATACACGTTTCCAACTTCCTCATTTTCCCCCCAATTTTGTTTCGTTTCCAACTGGCACGCTTTGTGATCCATTTCTGTCGCCGTTTCCATTATAGGATTTTGATTCAATCTTACTACCTGCTTAACAGGATGCCAAAAGTGTTTCGGCCAAAACTGGCCAATCCCGTCGTTAAAGCAGCACCGTATGTCATTTACTCCCTCTTCCCTCGTGTGACACCGTCTTTGTTTTCCAAGTAGCCAACCTGCTGCTTGTTCACCGAAACTAGATTCCAGACCAAAGTCTCTTTCACCTGTGCGTTCGCCTCCAGCTAGAAAAGATGCGTACTCCATTCCAAAAGTAAATCCCATGTAAGTGTCCACTTTCTATACTAATCAAATAGTCACGTTCCCACCATCCACACTTCCCCGAAGGATATACCAAGTGATAAGTGCGTCGTTGTCGTTTCCATTAACCGATTTCGCTAGCCAACCTGTTGTGGATATAGATCAGCCGGTTCCCGAAAAGCAGACCATTCCTGTTCCTGATGTCGGAGTGGAGTTATTTTCTTCAAAGAAGGTAGGTAACTTTTCTCGTGAGCACGAAGCTGTTGCTAATCTGTTCTGCAGAAAAGACACACATCCGCAAAATGTAACCGTGATCCTTGTCCTGCCGCGGATCAACCACTTGATCGGTCCTCTGTGTCCTTGCGTTCACTTCTACACTGGATCCCAACGAACAAGCCCCCTCCGTCGTAAGTATAACCTTTTTAATCAGCATTCACTATTCATCGTATCGTTCGGCTTCATCCTGTTCTTTCATCGCTACATTTATAGCTATCGGCTGGAACGGTCTAATGCACCTTCATCTGCCTCCTCAATCGCGTCTGAAAAACAAGAACCAAATGTGAAAGAACTCCCAATCAAATCCTCTTTGGCTTCAATGACTACACCGGAAGTACCACCCTCGCAATTGGACATGTTGGCGCCTCAGCTTAGGTTAGACGCGAATGGGAATATCGTAATTGACGAAACCAGTTTGTTGGTCTCGGTGCAAGAGGAAACGGATCGCAGTCATTTGCGTCATGTGACTGAAGAGGGAGGTGTGCTCGGTGTAACCTACAACAGTTTCCGTCGACCACGTGATCGTCAACGGGGTCGTTGGACGAATCGCGAGCTAATTCGATTCTATCGCGCTTTGAGCACAGTTGGCCCGGACTTCTACCTCATGACCAATTTGTTTCCCAATCGGACACGTTTGGAGCTGAAGGTGAGTTTGTATCCGTGTGGTTTGCTGATAGCTGCAGTGCTAAAATCGTCTGGCTTACCTAGCGCCAACCAATGTCCACTGTATAAATCAACCATGCCCTAATTTCCACTATGATGAACCCACTGGCACGATCTTACAGTCACGTTCTCCGAGTTTCCGACTGAAATCCGCACGGACTAGAAACCCCGATCACTCTCGGTGAGCAATCCTAGGCGGAACTGCAATGCTACTCGCTGGTTCACCGCTATACAACCATGACATTTCTGCAACGCGTTTCAGGATAGGAACTAAACGGGCCATTTGAACCCCCTTTTTACCAACAAGGACCTGATGATCGACGTAGTAGCAACCTGCACTCCTTTGGGGGCCGCAGCAGTCACGCGACACTAGTGTACCACTGCACGTGCTACGCAAAGTATCCTAACGTACGTACCGAGGAATATTACGTTTTAACTAACTGTATTGATCTGCCGACCTCATTGGTGCAACCATTTGGTTTTTTCTAGCCGAATAGTGACTTGGAGTGAATATGTCAACAAATTTCACGAGCTCGTTTTCAGTCTGTCATCACCGATCGTGTCGAGTATCCTTTCAAGAATCAAATGGAAGTCTAAGCAAAGTATCGTTTATTCTGTACTTAAGTGTGGAGCCTCTGGCGGGCCTGTGTCCGAAATGATAAGGTGTCTGTCTTGCAACCCGAAGGTTGCGGTTTCTAGCCTATGTAGGAGGACTGGGCGACCCTCGCGGTATCCCTAACACACGCGAGCCTCGGTGGTTGTGTGGTAACGAGACTTCGGTACGGCATATCGGCACACTTCTGATGTCCACAATGGTTACTTTCCATCTCTTTTGTCTTCCGCGGTCTGTCTTTGTTCGTTGGTCCGTACGTTCTGCTCGCTTCACTCGACTTTTGCTCCGTCTGCGTTGTCTTCCTGCAGTCATTCTTGAACGCGTCGTCTCTCCTTTGTCCCTCTGGTCAGCGCACACACGCTCCGTCTTTTCGCGGCTGTTGCAGATAATCCGCTTCTTCTAGGCTGCGTCGATCCCGATTCTCCTTTCTGGCTCGTCCATGCGTAATCAGTTTGTGTCGACGGCGACTGCTTAGTCTTCTGCTTGCCTATAACCCATTGGACAGCTTTACTCAAATGACCAACTACTAACACAGATCGTGCCGTGGACTTGAACTTTCAGAAGTTTGGTGACGCGACCACATCACTACAGATAGCCAACTTTGATGAGCGTCCACTTTCACCTCTTCCCCAGCACAGGTCTGCATCGCCATACCTGTTCGCATAGTTAGTTTTAGTGACCACCTCGTGCGTTTCTGTGCTGGAGGATTTTGCATTTTTATTAGGGGACTGAATTACCACTGTTTTTATTTATTCTTGCTCCTTACTACCAAGTCGTACGCCCTGTTAGCACCCTATTCTGCGATGCAGTCCGGTTAGCCGCCTCGTAGAAGCCTTATGCAATACGACTTACGCCATCAGACGTATTTCGCGATTTATAGAATCATTTTATGCTTATAGAAGGGGCGTTGTAATGCAGTAGAACGACGAATGTTTGTGTTCTTGTTTGCTTCACAGAGCTTGAAGAGCCCAAATCGCTGCAATTCCGGAGCACGTGGGCTAAGGATACTGCGAGGGTCGCCCGGTCCCTGCGCAAGCTGGAACCCGCGCCCTCGGATTACAAGTCAGGCATGTGATGCTTAAGGCTACGGGCTGGCTCTGTTCGGTGGACTGAGGAGAGTTACGGTTTAGTACAATAATTTCTGCGGCTTCGTGATTAATCTCGTTGTCCTGCTCCTCGTCTTCCACCTTAGATCTTTGAGGCGCGAGATTATGGTTTTGATCTATCACGACGTAAAAAGGATGACGAATGCTCACTCCCTCCCTATACGTCGCTACGGGTGTTGGAGATTGACAATGCATCGCCATCTTCAATCAGTCTACCTGATAGTTGTGCATATAGTGGCCTTTTCGGATCTACATCCTCTCCTAACACCTTCGACGCACTTTCAGCCAACACACTTTAATGACGAGAAATCCTACCGGTGCAGAATTACAAAGTGCGTGACTATCAGTGCATTCAACGCAACATCTATGCACATCACGGACTATCAAGTACGATTCTGACTCTCTTGTCTAACACCATGCTCACTCAGAATTGAGTTAGCAACTTTTTTGGATGTGCCAACAATCCAGTTAGTCACTTTGCGACTGTAGTCCTCTCGGCACACATCATTTCCGAGAGTGTGGCTCGTATTGGCCCAGCTAATGACATCTTGCATAGCCCTACCTTTTTAGTAGATGTCAAGCCTCTCATGCTTTCCCAACTTTCAGGTCTGCCAAGACCTTGACCGTTTGTGGAGACGACTATCTGCAGTGCGTCAAGTTTTTCTACACGGATCAGAGACGTGTCACTGCCTACTTAAGATATTGGTGGACTGCTCTCATCGAATTTCTATGCAGTACTTGTTTTACTCATGGGTAGGGGATTTTTGATCGGAATATTTGTGAGTGTCTTCGCAATAGCTTCCAAGTTAGGTAGTCGACCGCACGCGCCCGGATACGCACTGGAGACGGTGGTTCCGATCTTTTGGTTTCGTCAATGGGGCGTGTCCATCGTATCCATCGGGATCCGAATCCATGACCACTAGGGGTTTGCACCGCTAGCCAGGAGTTGAGGTGCTGCCTGGTGAAAGGTAGTTGACCTTGATTATGCGGACGATGTTGGGACGGCCCAATCAATCCTGGATAGCCTGTGTAGAGTGGTTCCATTGTTTGGTATGTGTTTCGCACCTTTAAAGCGCAAAGTATTGCTGCAGGACCATTATCCACTTGTTAATCCCTTGACCCTAGCTAGCGAGGAACTCGAGGTAGTTGATCAATTCACTTACCTTGGCAGTTGTATCAGCAACGATGAGTGTATAGCTACTAAGGTCAGTTCACGTATGGCAAAAACCAGAACTACCTATTTTAATTTGCGGAATCTTTGGCGACAGAAAGGAGTTTTCCTCCGTTTGAAAGGCCATGATTACAAAACCACACTGAGAGCCGTCCAACTGTATGGGAGTTAGACTTGGCCCCTCCGTTCTGAGAACCTGCGGCGCCTTCAAGTCCTTGATCATCGTGGTCTGCTGATGTCGGGTGGTGCTAGCGTGTCCGCAAAGATGATGTGCGTATGCGAGTACTAGATAGTGATAATCATGCTAGCTCCATGTGCCTGGTCACCGCTTACCGAGGATGGCCTTGTTTTTTCTGCCAGATGTAGGGTGGCGCAGGGCTTGAGGTGCACGAAGGTTCACTTGACAGCGGGAAATGGAGTCATTGACGACCAAACTGGGTGCCGTCGGTCCGTCGTCTAGCCTTCCAGGCTGGAGTCCACGTGACCCACCTTGTGCTTAGCTCGAGACTTTACAGGACATGGCTTACCGTCGAACCCAGTGACACGTCTGCCGCTGTCTTGTATTTGGACTGCCTGTTTAAAGTGTGTTTGCTGCTGAGTTATCTGCGGACTAATGGCTGATTTTGACGCGGAGCAGTAAAAGCCGCAAACAGCTGTCATGTCGATGCCGCCTTATCTTTGCACGATAGCCAGTTGTCTGTGATGGTATGTTCTTGACAAGGTGTAGGCACGTTGACCCTGAATGTTTGCTTATGGCATTAGCGTTTTCCGCTAAGTCACGCTTCTCTCCCTCTTATTATTCTGCGTTCCCTATTTTGTTATCGTTGTATGGAAGCTATGCACCAGTTCAAATGGCTGATGTACTACTGTTGATGATAATGATGACCGCTAGCCAGTGGCTTACTCCGCTTAGGCATGTGGGACAGCAACGAACATGTGGTGGATTATCTGATTTGGAATATGCTGCGGTGCAACCCTCAAGTACTTGCTTTGTCATTTGAGGTTACGTACCGTACCCACTGGACCGTTCTCGTCGCACTTCCTGGTTAGAGAGCATTTTCCCACTACTTGAATGCGCATACTGAAGCACCTGTCTAGGGAGAGTACGCCTGAATGAGTATAATACTTAGGTGAATACCTAGGGACAACCTACTTTTTAAAGTTTTAAATGGAATTTACTGCGGCCCCTAACGTCCTGCCACTTGACGGACAGCCGTTTCATCCAGCCAGAACTCCGTCGGAAATACGCATACTCTGGCTCGTGTTAACGGCCCTCTTGCAAACAAATACATAACTTGCTGGGCCACAATGGATTTCGCACCCCAAGTGGATACGTGACCAGTTAGGATCTCGTGTGGTTCGCTCCTGCGGAAGGAATGCGGTTACTGAACTGCCCTTCGCCGACATGTATCGCAACTATTTGCTCGGCCACGTCAAACCCCGTCATACACTTTGACCTAGATGCCTGAGCCACATCATTAGTTAGAGAGCGAGAGAACATTAAAGCTTTCGTAGCTACTAGCACGATGCATCGTATTTTGTCGGCTGCGAAAAGAAAGCGAGTCCCACCTGTTGTTTAAATTAGCCGAGCACCACGGGTTTTAATATGATAAACTGGTTCAGACTTGTATTCCGGTCCGCAGCTTCTCATAATCTGGAAACTAGGAAACAGGCTGCTTCCGGCGCTTCATCCTCATCATCATCCATACACGTTAAGTGAGAAATACACTCCAGCTAATGTGCCGAAATACCAAAAGGATAAGATATTAAAAATTACAGACTATATTGGCTTCCAACATCAAGTCATACAATATTAGGTATCATATAGTGCATGGGGTTTGACATCGTTGGCGGAGGGGGAAGCTAAACAGGAGAGGGATAGAGTAAGAAATTAAAGACACAAATGCCATTGAGGCCACCACTTTGCCATATCAGCAAGTATGTACAACCAAACATGTTCATCGCCCTCGGGATCCCAGCGCGGCAGTCTGGAGATAGCTGCGGAAGTGAGGGTTTTCATACCTCATGACCAAAATATCGCGTGACCTTTACTGCTCTTCTTCCATCCAGACCCTGGGCGCGCAAACAGCGTA